TCTCAGCTGCCTCCTCAGACGCAGGCGGGATCTGGCAACAGGGGACAAGTTTGTTACAGCAGGCGAGTCTCAGCTGCCTCCTCAGACGCAGGCGGGATCTGGCAACAGGGGACAAGTTTGTTACAGCAGGCGAGTCTCAGCTGCCTCCTCAGACGCAGGCGGGATCTGGCAACAGGGGACAAGTTTGTTACAGCAGGCGAGTCTCAGCTGCCTCCTCAGACGCAGGCGAGATACAGCATGTTTCAATATCTATTTTGTTTTTAATGTTGAGCGTGTGATGCTTGCTTAATGCATGATACGAATTATTACAACTACAATAAATAATTAAAATTTATAATAATTAAACAATAGAACTGGGTCTGCCCAAAGGTCACCCACCGACAGGGATGTGGGCATTTCAGGGCAGGAGAAAGGAATTTAAAAGCAAAGAAAACGCCAAGCAAATTCACCATATCGATATTGAAAACGTTTCGGAGTCCAGCTCCATCATCAGTTCGACTAAACTACTGGCCTCCGAAACGTTTTCAATATCGATATGGTGAATTTTCTTGGCGTTTTCTTTGCTTTTAAATTCCTTGTGAACTTGCGATATAAGCAGACTGGTAATATAAGTACTTATATACGATCTAAATACGGCAGGAGAAATGATGAATGGTCGGCCAAAATGCTTGTGGTTGGAGCGCGCCCGGATGCGGGCCCAAATCGGCAGCAAATCTTTCCCCGTCCTCCGAAAGGGGGACCCGAAGTCCCACTCTACGACTCCCCCCACTCTAGTAACAATGAGCCCCACTCTACAGACGACACCCCCACTCTACTAACAATGACCTCCACTCTACTGACGACCCCCACTCTACTAACAATGACCCCCACTCTACTGACAACCCCCACTCTACTGACAACGACCCTCCACTCTACTATAACCCCCCCCACACTACTTACAATGACCCCCCACTCTACAGACGACACCCCCCACTCTACTGACGACCCCCACTCTACGACCCCCCACTCTACTGACGATGATCTCGAGGACGGTCTCGCGGCCCCCGGTCTCCAGGACGGCCTCGGCCCGCACGGTGAGGCGGGACGTGGCGAGCTTCTCCCTGCTCAGAGGCTCCCCGTCGTGGTAGGACACCCCCACCTGGGGGACAACGGGGGGTCAGTGGGGGTGTGGGGGGTTACGTGGGTGAGTGGGCATGAGGCATAACTGAAGGAGGCCAACGGGGGCAGTCAATGGGGGTGTGGGGATTAGATGGGTGAATGGGACAAGGGGGATTGGGGAGCAACTGGGGGAAGAGCTACAAGGACACTAAGGAGGAGCAAGGACACTAAGGAGCTACAAGGACACTAAGGAGCTACAAGGACACTAAGGAGCTACAAGGACACTAAGGAGCTACAAGGACAATAAGGAGCTACAAGGACACTAAGGAGCTACNACCTCCACCCGGAGCATGGCGCCCCTGGGGCCCTCACCTCCACCCGGATCATGGCGCCCCTGGGGCCCTCACCTCCACCCGGATCATGGCGCCCCTGGGGCCCTCACCTCCACCCGGATCATGGCGCCCCTGGGGCCCTCACCTCCACCCGGATCATGGCGCCCCTGGGGCCCTCACCTCCACCCGGATCATGGCGCCCCTGGGGCCCTCACCTCCACCCGGATCATGGCGCCCCTGGGGCCCTCACCTCCACCCGGATCATGGCGCCCCTGGGGCCCTCACCTCCACCCGGATCATGGCGCCCCTGGGGCCCTCACCTCCACCCGGATCATGGCGCCCCTGGGGCCCTCACCTCCACCCGGATCATGGCGCCCCTGGGGCCCTCACCTCCACCCGGATCATGGCGCCCCCCTGCGACGTGTCCCCGATGATGCGCCGCACGTCCTCCATGGGGAGCTCGTAGTCGTACGCGCCGTCAAACTGCACACAGAAAAATAATGTCAACAATGACGAACTTAATACGGGAAATAAAAGTTAATAGTTAGACTTAATACGGAATATAATAGGAATAGCTGACAAACTGCACCTGATAAGTCAGTTGACTCACCACCATACAGACTGACGGAGGCGTGAAACTTACCCACTTCTACACAAAGTGGGTCAATAAATGAGTCAACAAGTGGGTCACCAAGTGGGTCACCGGACCCACCACTAAGTGGGTCACATGACTCACCACCTCGACGTCCAGTGTGGACGCCAGTGTCCAGGTCCTAAGGGCAGGAGGGGCGCGGCCGTACAGCCTGATGGTGGCGTTGCCGAAGGCCCCTTTGTCACCAAGTGGGTCAATAAATGGGTCACCAAGTGGGTCACCAAGTGGGTCACATGACTCACCACCTCGACGTCCAGAGTGGACGCCAGTGTCCATGTCCTAAGGGCAGGAGGGGCGCGGCCGTACAGCCTGATGGTGGCGTTGCCGAAGGCCCCTTTGTCGTTGGCGAACTCGCCCTCGATGGACCCAACGACGAACTCGTCCGTCTCCAGGAAGTACTTCTGCATGTACACCTTCGTCTGTACAGACAAGAGGGGCGTTATAGGTACACCTTCGTCTGTACAGACAAGAGGGGCGTTATAGGTCTGCATGTAGACCTTCGTCTGTACAGACAAGAGGGGCGTTATAGGTCTGCATGTACACCTTCGTCTGCACTACCACTAAGTACCACTAAGCACCACTAAGCACCACTAAGCACCACTAAGTACCACTCACCTCAAACCTGGGCGTGTACCACTTAGTGACGCGTATCTTATGGTCCTTGATCTGTCCATTGACCAGCGCCCTGATGGTCCACCAGCCCTCCTTAGTACCACTAGTACCACTAAGCACCACTAGTACCACTCACCTCAAACCTAGGCGTGTACCACTTAGTGACGCGTATCTTATGGTCCTTGATCTGTCCATTGACCAGCGCCCTGATGGTCCACCAGCCCTCCTTAGGGAGGAAGGGCAGCTTGAAGGACATGGACACCACACCCACGTTGGTGGGCTGCGAGGGCCACCGCCGCATGGCGTACCCGTCGGGGTCCTGGGGCACGTTATTGGGTAACTAATATTCGTAATAATAATAATATCAATAACAATAATAACAATATTAAGAATAGCAATAGCAAAATAATATTAATAATAATGATAACAAAAGGCGTACCCGTCGGGGTCCTGCACGCACGTTATTTGCTGTGTTATTGCCTACTTATTGATAATGATGCTAATAATAATAATATTAACAATAACAATAATAATAACATAATAACAATAACACTACTAGTGATATTAATAATAATAACAATATTAAGAATAATAATAACAATAATAATGATAATAGCAATAACATTAATAACAACAACAATAATACCATATAATATCATTGAACACTGCAAATAAATAAAAATAACAAGATCAATATTAGCAATATCAATAATAATAAAAATAACAATAATAAGAAAAATAATAATAGTACCAATAATAATAATATGTACTAACAATAACAGATAATAATAATAATAGTAATAATAATATGTTCTGACAATAACAGATAATAATAATAATATTAATCTTGTTAATATCCTGTACAATCAACATAACACGGCATCACGCACCAGGATGTAGACGTCGACGGGGTCGTCGTAGGGCTTCTGCTCCGTCGTCAGCAGGATGATGCGGAACCGAACTGCCGGGTCATTATTCTTATTACATTATAACATTGTTTAATACAACTTAATAATAAAACATTGTTTAATAAAACTTATTAATAAAAACTCATTACGTTATAACATTGTTTAATAAAACTTATTAATAAAAACTTAATAATAAAACATTGTTTAATACATCGTATATTGTTGTGCTAAATTACAGAGATGATGCGGAACCGAACTGTCGGGTCATTATTCTTATTACATTGTTTAATATAACTTATTAATAAAAACTTATTAATAAAACTTATTGTTTAATACATCGTATATTGTTGTGCTAAATTACAGAGATGATGCGGAACCGAACTGTGGGGTGATTATTGTTATAATCATCACCCATACACCCATCATTGTTATGATCATCACCCATATTTGTTATAATCATCACCCAGAGCAATGTAAAAGATTTTGTCCTATTATCGATCCAGTTCTTCAAATCTCTGGGTCATCCTGACGCACTTTGGCTCAGTAAAAGTGCGTTTTTAGCGCAACGTGCAGATTTTGCGTCACGACTTACAATACAATTTGACCCATACATGATTCTGAGTGTAGAGTAGGTCTGGTCGCCCGTGTAGACCGGCCTGCTGGCCTGCTCTCACCTATCTGGTCCCCCGTGTAGACCGGCCTGCNGGTAGCCCTTGACCCACTTACCCTCATGAGCATCATCTGAGGGTAGCCCTTGACCCACTTACCCTCATGAGCATCATCTGAGGGTAGCCCTTGACCCACTTACCCTCATGAGCATCATCTGAGGGTAGCCCTTGACCCACTTACCCTCATGAGCATCATCTGAGGGTAGCCCTTGACCCACTTACCCTCATGAGCATCATCTGAGGGTAGCCCTTGACCCACTTACCCTCATGAGCATCATCTGAGGGTAGCCCTTGACCCACTTACCCTCATGAGCATCATCTGAGGGTAGCCCTTGACCCACTTACCCTCATGAGCATCATCTGAGGGTAGCCCTTGACCCACTTACCCTCATGAGCATCATCTGAGGGTAGCCCTTGACCCACTTACCCTCATGAGCATCATCTGAGGGTAGCCCTTGACCCACTTACCCTCATGAGCATCATCTGAGGGTAGCCCTTGACCCACTTACCCTCATGAGCATCATCTGAGGGTAGCCCTTGACCCACTTACCCTCATGAGCATCATCTGAGGGTAGCCCTTGACCCACTTACCCTCATGAGCATCATCTGAGGGTAGCCCTTGACCCACTTACCCTCATGAGCATCATCTGAGGGTAGCCCTTGACCCACTTACCCTCATGAGCATCATCTGAGGGTAGCCCTTGACCCACTTACCCTCATGAGCATCATCTGAGGGTAGCCCTTGATGACCTGCGCTTTGGCGGCCGCTATCTCCACTCCGTCCATCTGAGGGGGCGAGGGATAATAATGATATAATAATGATGATATAAACTTTATCATTAACATTATATTATATGATAATGATTATATAAGGTTAAAGTTCTATCATTAATCTTATATTATTTAATAATGATAATATAAGGTTCAGGCTTCATCATTAAGCTTCCTCGCGTCAAGATTAGTTTATTCTTAACTTTATTTAAACATTGTCAGTCATTTTCTTTCTGTACACTGGCCTGTATACTGACACACACTGACCTGTATACTGACACATACAGCCCTGTATACTGGCACACACAGCCCTGTATACTGACACACACTGACCTGTATACTGGCACACACAGCCCTGTACACTGACCTGTATACTGACACACACAGCCCTGTATACTGACACACACAGCCCTGTACCTGACCTGTATACTGACACACACAGCCCTGTACACTGACCTGTATACTGGCACACACAGCCCTGTACACTGACCTGTATACTGACACATACAGCCCTGTGTACTGACCTGTATACTGGCACACACAGCCCTGTACACTGACCTGTATACTGGCACACACAGCCCTGTACACAGCCCTGTATACTGACCTGTATACTGACCTGTATACTGACACACACAGCCCTGAACACTGACCTGTATACTGACACACACAGCCCTGTATACTGACCTGTATACTGGTGCGTACGTGTACTGTAATGTCGAGGTGCAGGATGGACACGACACACCTGTACACGGAGGCGGGTCGCAGTGTGCGCGGACACAGCACCATGTGCGTCCTGTGGCACATCAGGTTACACATTCATTAATAAATAAATAAATGTAGAAATAATTAAAATTTATAAATGAAAAGTTAATTAAATTGACTTATAAATTAAATTAATTAAGGAATTAAATAGACTTATAATTGAGTTATAAATGAATATCTAAACATAACCACAAATAAACAGAAACAAATAATAAATTTATTAAAAATAAATTAAATAATAAGCAATTAATATACGTAGGTACTTAATTAAAAATTAATATATTTATAAATATATACCATATATAATTAAAAAGTTAATTAACAGCACCATGTGCGTCCTGCGGCACATCGGGTTATACATTAATTATTTATTAATAAATATTTGTAGAAATAATTATAATATATAAATTAAAAGTTAATTATATTGACTTAGTTATAAATGAATATCTAAACATAACCACAAAAAAACAGAAATAAATACTTAAATTTATTAAAAATAAATTAAATTTAATACTTAGCAATTAAATATACTAAATTATAAATAAATATATTTATCAATATATACTATATATAAATAATAAGTGAAATAACTGATCATAGTTATAAATGAATACTTGAAAATAACCATAAATAAACAACATTAAACTAACTAAATACTAAAATAACTAACCATGTGCGTCCTGTGACACAAGAAACAAAGTATATATAATAACCAATTATAAATGAATATTATATTAATATATAATAAAGAAATAAACATATAACATGAATAAAAATGAACATTATGGAGCAAAAAAAAGTATCTATTAGATCAAAATACAGCCTTGATAAATACATAAAATTATACCTAATTATTGATAATAATTTATTTAATAATAATTAAATATAATATTATTTTATACAATAATAAGTTAATAATAATAATTTATACAATTATTAATAATAATATTAATATAATATATTAATAATTTATACAATAATTGAATGAGATGCTGCAGGCCAATCAATGTTCAAATTAAACATTTAATAAAATTAGGAAAATTATTAAAATTAAAATTATGTTCAATTATCATAATGATGTTTGGGTACATCAAAATGGTCATATGGGCGACCATGTTNTGATTATAACCATCATGTCAACAAACATACGGGTGATTATAACCATCATGTCAACAAACATACGGGTGATTATAACCATCATGTCAACAAACATATGGGTGATTATAACCATCATGTCAACAAACATACGGGTGATCATAACCATCATGTCAACAAACATACGGGTGATTATAACCATCATGTCAACAAACATATGGGTGATTATAACCATCATGTCAACAAACATATGGGTGATTATAACCATCATGTCATCCAACATACGGGTGATTATAACCATCATGTCAACAAACATACGGGTGATTATAACCATCATGTCAACAAACATACGGGTGATTATAACCATCCTGTCATCAAACATATGGGTGATCACATATTATGTCAACAAACATATAGGTAATCACATACATATTATGTCAACAAACATACGGGTGATCATAACCATCATGTCATCAAACATACGGGTGATTATAACCATCCTGTCATCAAACATACGGGTTATCACATATTATGTCAACAAACATATAGGTAATCACATACATATTATGTCAACAAACATACGGGTGATTATAACCATCATGTCATCAAACATACGGGTGATTATAACCATCATGTCATCAAACATACGGGTGATCATAACGTTTGTTGTAGCGCAGTCTATTTCTAAACTGCCACGTCTTGTCCTCCCCCGGCCTGAGGCCTCTAATGTCGTCCGGTAAACGGCCCAAGTCCTGGCCACCGGCCACCGCCAGCAGAGCTGCTGTGGCCACAGCAAGCAGCAGCAAATTCATGGTTGTTTTCACTGAAAGAATTAAATTTTATTTTAATAATAGACTTTTACTAAAATACAACAGGTACATATTGGTATATAGAAAAAAATTCCATGACTTTTCCATGACCAGGTTCTAGTAATCTTTGAATGTTAACTGAAGAGAGAGTAGTCGGCGCAGAACCAAACTTTGCCAGAACTGTGTTGATACAGATGTGTTTGATACACATCTGTACACAAGATGTGTATCAAACCTACGCATCCACTTGTATATTTATTTGATCTTACAATTTTCTTATGAATCTATTTTTCTCCGCTGGTTCCAAATGGAACCGCACGGCATTAATGGGTTAACACACGCAGCACAGAAAACACTTCCTTTTTAGCGCATTTTCTCATTTATGGAAAAATGCACTATTGTGCTCGCCATGTCCGTCCGTCTGTCTGTCTGTTCATCTGTCCGTCCATCTGTCTGTCCGTCCGTGACCTCACATTTTTGTTGACGAGAAAATGTGCTCTCTGGCACTCACTGGAGTGAGTACTGAGTTATATTTTTTCTTCATTTACTTGCAAATTCCATGACTTTCCAGGTTTTCCATGACCGGTACGCACCCTGCTTAATAAAATAATACAATTTCAGTAAAATAATGACATCTTATTAAAATAAAGTTTTGCTATAACAATAACAAGTTATTTCATATCCAGCTATGATGATATGAAGTTTTCCTCAAAATTTAGGTTATTAACATATGAAAATTACTTGCAGTTAACTTAATAGACAAATAACACAAGCACCTGTGTAATAAGATATACAGATCTGTGTGTTCTAGCCATATTAAAAAGTATTGTGAGTATACACATGTACCTACACAATTTATATATACCTATATGTCTGTAAAATGTGGTCACTCTATGAACTATGATGTACATTCTCTTATATTCCATTCTCAACCAGAGCTCCTAATCATACCTATATATACTATTTATTGAATATATTATACCTACATAATATTTGTTCAGAAACATTTCAGTTGCTGTTACCTATATCACGTGTTCTATGTTTCATATTTGTGTAACATTTGTTTTTATAATTAATAATGCAAAAAAATAGTACATTCCAATCAACTGGAAATTGAATAAAATTTTGATTTTCAACAACTACCTGCATTCAAATATTTTTCAACCTCATCAAAGAATAGCCTTCATCTGCTATAACATCTGCAAATTTTAGATTGAAATTGCACAGCTAAAAGAATTTAAAATAAACTAATTTTAGGCCATCTTAGAATGTATTTCCAAAAAATTCAAAAGCAAAGAATACACCAAATAAATTCCCATTTCTTCATGGAGACATTCTGAGACCAGCAGCCGTGTCAACATCACCAATCATTTCAACAAATTAATAGAGAATACAAGAACAATCAGCATTGTATATAATAAAATTATTCACACAAAATATAAAAAACCTAGGATATGAGGAAATGAATACAGAGCATAAAAACCAAATTATTTACAATTTCAAGGCCCAAGGGGATAGTAAGAATTGTACGCGTTATTGAGACAAGGTTTCCATTTAAAACAGCTTCTTTCCTTAACACGTTGACTACGATTGCTTCATCTTGTACATTATTTCATTTTTTGTACTGTTTTCAAACAGGGTTGCCAGACGGTCATTTTTTCCAGACAAATTCGGTGATTTAGTTTTTCTCAATTGCGTTGGCCGGCTAAAATTTATGATAGGGGTACTTCCTAATTAAATTTCAAATACTGCAAAAAGAAAATAAATGGAATTTTTATAATGGAACCTACAAATAAGCTAGTATATTTCAAGTTATTGGTCTTTTTTGTTCTCGGATTTGGCCAATTTTAGGCAACCTGAATTATGTACCACCACGTCCCGGAGAAATAAATTTTGTGGTACGCATATCGGCATATGTACCAATACGTAGTCAACGTGTTAAACTTGGAATTTTTTGTAAACTTGCAATTTGAGCAGATGTATCCTGCCAGGCAGAGATATCTTGCATTCCTATATCCATGTTATGATTATAAATTAAGTTTGGTATATCTTATTAATAAATAATCTGTTCCATCTGTCACTTAGTCATATAGTGGGCAGGGCCATGATTTCCATAACAATGAAATTTCAGCAAAGAAATTTTTTACAGACTTAAAAAGTAAGCTTACATTTTCATGTTTTTCAAAGCTCCTAATAAAATTGCATAAATTAAACTTTTAACAAATATTACAGACTTAAAGCCAATAATTTTTGTGAATATAATATTTTTTCTTTATTTCTATTAGTTTTTAATGATTATATAAAGATTTATTCATTTAAATGATATTGTTTTTCAGGAAATGGAAGTATAAATGGAACTATATTGTTAATTTGTTATTGCCTTTATTTCATGGCCAAGAAACTGGGAAAGAAAATATATTCCATATCTGACAGATTGTGTGCCTTTCCCGCCATTTAAGGAGCCGCAAGATTCTTACTAGATGAATTACCTCTATATAATTTCTAACAAAAGTGTACAAGTGGGCCATGCCATAAGATTCCAAATTTATAAAAAATGTGTCACTGTAAAGCTTTGACTGTGAAGTCTCATTCATAATTAAAAAAATTCCAATCCTGCATGAGAGTTGACAATTCCATTTTTTCTCTCCTTACTCCTCATTCCTTACAAATTACAATATTACATAATAATTTGAGTACCTATCATTCATGTTCATATATTACTATTATCCTGCCAATTACAAAGTTGCACACTGCAAAATCTCAATACTAAATTTTTTTTAAATACTTAATTATCACTATCATCTCATCTCACATGCAAAAAATCTAAGATATTCATTATAAAAAGGCAAGGATTTTCAGTTTTTACAGCTGTTTTTTTTTCAACATTCAACACAATTTTCATGTTGAATTAAACTGCAAACCCTGACCAATTATAAAATAATTATATAACTGACATTTCAAGCAAATTTATTCATTAATTACGTGTCAAGTTGTGGTGACTCAGAATTAGACATAAAAATAGCGTCGAAATATTTTACTCCAACTCTGCCTCTGGTCTGTGTCACTCGGTGAGTCTACGACCAACTTGCGTCAGAATTATTAGTCTAAATTCAGCCTAATAAATGTAATACAAACATAAAATGAAACACACAAGCATATATAAGTCTGTATACAAAATAAACACATTAAACAGGCAACTCACCACTGTTAGGACTAAGCAAACTAGGCGCAACTTAAGCGGACATATTCAAAAGAACGTTGACGCCCTACTGACTCCCTCTCTGTTTACAACACACCCCACGTCCAGGTAAACCTGATCTACGTTCACGATACGGACAACGCCTTGACGAAAATGAGATAAACCATCATTAAATCAAACTAAACCTCACAAGAAAACTGCTTTTATTTACATTTGATGAATATTAAGCTTCAGCTTTAGTTCCACATAGTGTTAATTCACGTATAGTTTCACGTTAAACGCGAAAAAATAATTCAAGGATTTCAATCGCTGTGTGAACGCGATCAATGGACTAACCAACAGGTGCATGGCGGCAAGTGATCCCGCGATTTAGAGAAAAATATTCTGATTTTATCACGTCAATGAATTAATGACCTTTTCTTGACTATACTGCTCGGTGTATTTAGTTTATTTGAACACATTTCTATCGAAAAATAGATCAATATAAAAATATCAGAGCTTTTTATTTATTATATAAACGTTTCACAATCGGGCATGACTACAGAGGCATTGAAGTTACCGGATGTGTTCATTCAAATCATTTATATTATTTAATAACAATAAGTTTCATTAATCAATTTGCTTATCACAAGCTTATTTACATCGCTAAATATATTTCGTGTGTTTATCTCGTGATATTTCTATGTTAGCTTTTTATATTTCGAAAAATGATATATAAATGTATGAGTGTTTACATTATATATAAATAAAATTTATTTATCCTTGCGTTCATAATACCAACAGTGTCTTTCTATTTATTAAACATAAATAATAATTTTTTATGGTATAAACCTGAAGCGAGGCAACACGAATATTTCATCAAAAAATAGCAATCGATTATTACGAGAAAAATTCCACCCTGAACAAAATATGAAAATTTCTCATGTAACTATTGAAACAGTGATTGAATATAATTTTATTATTATTTATTTATACATAATGTTACCATGACTGTAGATTGACAGTAATATAATTATTCAATAGTTCCTGCACAATATTTAATAAAATTTCATCACTTTAAAATTCCAGTTCATTCATTTACTCGGTTCATTTACAATTCATTGCACAACTTTAGTGATATTTTCTATCGCTTTCTCACATTATTATATTTTTGCAGTTATTGCTATCAATTAATAAAGTTTTTGTTATATGCTGTTTCTATAAAATATAGTATGTTTATTTAATGAATTATATATTTACAAATAAATAACTAAAATAAAATAAAATGCTATACCCTGCCCCGTATACGACAGCCTCCACTTGGGTCTGCATACGGCAGCCTTCACTTGGCCTGCATACGGCAGCCTTCACTTGGGTCTGCATACGGCAGCCTTCACTTGTCCTGCATACGGCAGCCTTCACTTGGCCTGCATACGGCAGCCTTCACTTGGGTCTGCATACGGCAGCCTTCACTTGGCCCGCATACGGCAGCCTTCACTTGGGCCTGCATACGGCAGCCTTCACTTAGCCTGCACACGGCAGACTTCGTTTGAAATTTAAAAGTATAAAAGTATAGAATTTGACGAAAATTCCCCATTTTCTTAAAATTATGAACAAATTTTATGAACATATTTTACATTAAATTCATGACATGACAATATGTGATAAAATAAATCGAGTGACCCGAAAAACTACGCCTATGTCGTCATTGTTTTTCTTATGAATGGATGTATGCAAGAGAATAAGAATTATATTCAGCCAATCAGACCCTTGATTCCATCCAGCCAATCAGGCACTAGATTTAAAACAGGCCACTCGTGTCTTTTGAGACCAATTGCATGAGTTTGATAATTTTGAAAATCACATGTGATTACTTATTATATTATCAACAGTAATAAATGCTTATATTATCACCAATCAAAATAAAATAATTTAGGTCAATAATAATTATAAAAACTTCAATTTTGACTTAAACTACATCAGCTTTTCCAAGAGAGCGGAAGAAGAGGACAAGATCCTGCCGAGGAGAGTCAGTGCCCATCAAGTTCTCGTCGTGTGAGGTTGTGCGCGTCGCGTGTCTCCAACCACTTGTCGAGTGTAGTGCTTCTGGATTCGTTTACTTTAATAACTCTTCTCTAACAATAACCTATCAACCCACTAGTATATTCATGATTGCCTACAAATACAAGTGTTTTTGATGATATTTCAGTGAATTCAATAACTTTAATCTTAAAAATTCTGTTGCACGACGGAAAATGTATCGAAGAGCGGCCAGTTTGATAGTCAGCTTTAACGTTACCTTACTAGACGTGTTGTCATATATTGCCTATATAACGGCCGTTATATTGCCTCTATAACGGCCGTTATATTGCCTCTATAACGGCCGTTATATTGCCTCTATAACGACCGTTATGTTACCTCTATAACGGCCGTTATATTGCCTCTATAACGGCCGTTATATTGCCTCTATAACGGCCGTAATGTCGCCTCTATAACGGCCGCTATATTGCCTCTATAACGGCCGTTATATTGCCTCTATAACGGCCGTTATATTGCCTCTATAACGGCCGTTATATTGCCTCTATAACGGCAGTTATATTGCCACTATACCGGCCGTTATATTGCCTCTACAACGGCCGTTATGTTGCCTCTATAACGGCCGTTATAATGCCTCTATAACAACCGTTATATTGCCTCTATAACGGCCGTTAAATTGCCTCTATAACGGCCGTTGTATTGCCTCTATAACGGCCGTTATATTGCCTCTGTAACGGCCGTTATATTGCCTCTAACGGCCGTTAAATTGCCTCTATAACGGCCGTTAAATTGCCTCTATAACGGCCGTTATATTGCCTCTATAACGGCCCTGGTATTGCCGCTATAACGGTCCTGGTATTGCCTCTATAACGGCCCTGGTATTGCCTCTATAACGGCCCTGGTATTGCCGCTATAACGGCCCTGGTATTGCCTCTATAACGGCCCTGGTATTGCCTGGTAAAAATTAAAATTAAGATTTATTTTCACTATTTATTTTATTTAAATAACATCTTCATTGTGAGCGCCATATATATAATTTTTTTGTCAAAGCCATAATTGTTCTGTGGATGCAAAAAATATATATTTTGAATACCTATTATTTTGAATTTTATTTTGAAATTTTTTGAATATTATTTTTGAATTTTGAATATTATTTTGAAATTTTTGGAATATTATTTTTGAATTTTTTGGAATATTATTTTTGAATTTTGAATATTATTTGGAAAATTTTTTATATTATTTTTGAATTTTGAATATTATTTTGAAATTTTTTTATATTATTTTGAAAATTTTGAATATTATTTTTGAATTTAGAATATTATTTTGAAAATTTTTAACTTATGTGCCCAGACTTTACGGACACCCTGTAGTACTGCGTTTACAATAGTTATCGTCTCAGTATTATTTAATAGAAAATATTGATTCATCACTGAGAGAAATAGGTGGGTCTGGATGACCTACTTAGACGAGTCATCCGCGTCCAAATTACGATGCACTTTCTGACTCACTTGAGTCATTTGTGGGTCATACTGACCTATTACTGGCCCTATAAATTTCGATATGACTCACTTGTGGCGTGAAATCTTTCTGCCGCCACAAGTGAGTCATGCCTGAAAGTGGGTCATCCTGACACACCCATTTCTTTCAGTGCACACCCGCTTATTTAGTGACCCATTTTAGTGGCAGAGAGCGGACGTAGCACTGATACGCCCCTTTGCCCTGGCCAAACTGAGTCAGGATGACCCACACAATAGAAAATAGTGCATCAGTATGAGGACAAAGTGTCTCTCTATTTCTCTGAGTGATGTGATTTATATATAATAAAAAAATTGTGGCCACAAGCCACGTTTGACTGTCGCGGAATTTTTACGGTTAGCTGGGTTTCGATACCGCAACTCACTGTACAAAACTTGCCATTGCGGCGACACGGTGAAATTAAAATGGTGGCCCCTTACAGAAGCTAATATGATTAATGGAACTATTAATATTACGCTATATAAGAGGCCGGACGTTTCCATTACATTAACTGTTCCGTATTATCAAGTTAATATATAGTTGTTAATATATAGCAAGTTAATATATAGTTAGTCATTTTCCATTAATTTAAATTTTATATAACACGTATTTCATGATATAATATTTAATAATATTGATGAAAATACCGAAACTCTACTCTTTTAATTACATAGTATATAATTAGAACGTATAGAATAAGGGTCAATACCACATTAAAATTTGTACCTAAATGATTTCTCTCTATTATTTTTTATTGGAATTAAGTGAACGTTATATTAATTTCGTAACTTATTAATGATAACTGACTAATATAATGATAATAATTATAATTATAATAATTAAGTGACTTATAAACGATAACTTTATAATATAGTAATAATAATCATATTATAATATTTAAGTAACTTAAAAATGATAACTGAAATGTGTTCGGGAAATTTGGCAACGTCGCCGGGAAGCAACAGCTGGAGACGTGGCAACGTCGCGGCCTCTTAGATTTCTGATAAATTTAGGGTCCAGGGTCTGAGGGTCGCTAGACCTGCCCTCAGACCCTGCCTGCCTGCCCTCAGACCCTGCCTGCCTTCCCTCAGACCCTGCCTGCCTTCCCTCAGACCCTGCCTGCCTTCCCTCAGACCCTGCCTGCCTTCCCTCAGACCCTGCCT